TAAACATTATTTTAATAAAAAACCTTTTTACCTTCCCTATTTCATTCCTGTAATTGAAGTATAACACACAGCTTAAGTGTAAAACTCAGTGAATTTTTACGTATTACATCCAGATCAACATATAATCATCCCAGAAGTTTTCCTCCGTGTCTCTTCACACTAATCTCCCCTCCCCAAGAGGTTACTGCTCTTCTAACTTTTGACACCAATAAATAAGTTTTGCTTGTCCTTGAACTTCAGTTTGAATCATACAATGTGTACAAGCTGTTTTTGTTCAGCGTAGTATCTGTGAGTCGTACATGTTCTTGCGTGCATCAGCCGTTTGTTCTTTTCTATTGCCATGTGGTATATTCCATTGTGCGGATACGCCACAATTTATTTGTCTGGTTTCCTGCTAATGAACATTTGGGTTGTTTCCAGTTTTGCCTCTATGTTTGAAGGTGTTCTGAATATTCTAGTGTAGTCTTTTGGTGGCCTTATGCACTCATTTCACCCAGTAATGGAATTACAAGGTCATAGGTAGGTAGGCATGTGCTTAACTTTGTAGATATTTATAGATACTGCTGAGCAATCATCCAAAGTTGTTGAACCAATTTACAGCCCCATTAAGGGATTGGACTTTGTTTCTTTGTTTTTTGTTTTTTTTGGGTAAAGTTTATTGCCCCTAAAATGGAGGAAAAAATACAATAGGATATTACAGATCTAGTGTTTAAGTCACTTTTTTGACATTTAAATAGATAAGCTACCTTTCGCCACTTATTTATAATTCCCCTTTTTTAAAAATGGGACATCATATAATTCACTCTTTTAAATAAGTGCACAACTAAATGGTTTTTAGTATATGCACAAGGTTGTTCAACCATCACCACTATTCAATGTGAGAACATTTTCATCACTCCGACAGGAAACATTGTACCCATTAGTAGTCACTCCACATCCTTTCCTTTCTCCAATCTCTGGCAACCACTAATCTACTTTCTGTCTCTATGGATTTGCTTATTCTGGACATTTCATATAAATGGTTGAACTTTTTAAATTTTTTTAAATGACAAATAATATTTGTACATACTCATGGGGTACATAGTGATGTTTCCATACATACAATGTGTAGGGATCAGATCAAGGTAATTAGCATATCCATCATCTCAAACATTTATTTCTTTGTGTTGGGAACATTTAATAGCCTCCTTTTAGCTATTTGAAACTATATGTTATTGTTAGCTGTAGTCATCCTACAATGCTGTAGAACACTA